CCTCCGTACCAGAGGGAAGGGGAAGGAGATCCCCCCAGTGCGTCCCCGGCAGGACGGCGTCGGCAGCGGGGTTGTCCTGCAGCCGGGGGCCCGGCTGGGCTGGGAGATGGAGCAGGAGAGAGGGGGAAAGGGGCACTGACTTCCTCCTCACCTGCCTGGGTGTCCTGGGACGTCTTCCTCTTCCACACAGCCTGCTTCTCCATCTGGCCAAGGTTTGGGAATGGGAAATCCTGGTTTGGGGAAAAATACAATTCATGAGCACATTGGAATAGGGGGTTCCTCCTGCCCAAGGCCCTCTCTAGAAGTCACAGGGCACCTTGTGCCCATATAAACCTCCTAAACACCAAGATTCAGTCCTGAAAACGCCTCCCAGGAGTTCCCCTTATCTGGTCTCTCCCCTTTGCTGTTCATGGGTTCCCCCCTGTTCCAGCTGCTGGGGGTCACGCTTGTACTGTGGGTCCCCCATCTACTCGGTCCCTGCCCTCCCCTTGCTTCTGAGAGTGCCAGGAATCCAAAAAGTTCCTCTCATTTCTATCTCAGCATTTAGGGATGTTGAAGGTTTTTGGGATCCCAGGGTCCCTTCTCCCCTTATTCTCTTCTTGGGGGTGCAGGTGGTCCATGGAGACCCCCCTGACCCCTCTCCAGGCTGTTGAGGGTCTTGTGAATTGCGGCGCTCCCCTTTTTTAGAGGCAGCCTGGGGGACACAGGGCTCTGCTCCTCCAGGCTGCCTCTGCCAGCAGCTGCCACCAGGACCCCCCAAGGGGCATTTTCTGCTCAGCTTTGGAGTTCTTCATTCGCCGAACATTCTCCCCAAAAACCCAACCCAGGGACCCCCCAGGATATCTGGGCCGAGCTCCCCCTCCCTGGTCATTGCTGGGATGGGGGGGGTGATGATCCCACGGGTGGGGGACTGTGAATTTGGGGAATGCTGGACTGGGATATACTGGGTGTGACTGAGATAATACTGGGATAACAAGCACCTGACTGGGGTTACTGGGAGTGTCTGGGAATGGCTATGGACATGCTGAGAACAACTGGGATATACTGGGAACACACTGGGAACAACGGGAACCATGCTGGGGACAACTGAAAGCAACTGGGCATGACTGGGACCATGCTGGGAGGGGATGGGACTATACTTGGGGCTACTGGGTGCAACTGGGATCACACTGGGAGAAACAGGGAGCAACTGGAACCACGCTGAGGGCAACTGGGATCTAACTGGGATCACAGTGGAAGCAGCTGGGCCATGCTGGGCAAGACTGGGACCATACTGGCAGCAACTGGGACTGCACTCAGAGTGACTGGGAGTGGCTGGGAGCAACTGGGAACAGCTGGAACCACACTGGGGGCAACTGGGAGTGAGTGGGACCATGCTGAGATGGACTGGGACTATTCCAGGGACAACTGGGATCATACTGGTAGCAACTGGGAAGAATTGCAACTATTCTGGGATCACACTCAACTGGGATCATACTGGGATCACAGTGGGAGCAGCTGGGTCCCTGCTGGCTGAGACTGGGATCCCACTGAGGGTGACTGGAATCATACTGGGATTGACTGGGAGTGGCTGGGAACAACTGGGATCATGCTGAGAGCAACTGGGAGGAGCTGGGAATGACTGGGAGCGTGCTGGGGCTGACTGGGATATACTGGGAGAGACAGGGAGTCCCAGGGATCCCACTGGAGGCTACTGGGGTCACACTGGCACTGCCAGGGAGCAACTGGGGGCCACTGGCCGGTGACTGGATCAACTGGGAGTGACTGGGATCAGACTGGGAGTTACTGGGATGATACTGGGAGTGTGAAGGAAACTGGAAAATTGGGGAAAAAATGGGAAAAAAAGCAGGATCAATAAAAGGAAAATAGAAGGGAAAAATCAGGGGAAAAAAATAGAAAAAACCAGGATGAAATAAAAAAAAAAAAAGGGAAAATCAGGAAAAATTTGGGAAAAAAAGAGAAAAGTCAAGGAATAAATGGGAAAAATTGGGGAAAAAATCAGGAAAAGAAAGTGGAAAAAATCTTGAAAAAAATCAGGAAAAATGGGGAAAAAAATCAGGACAAAATAGGAAAAGAAGGAAAAATCAGGAAGAATTGGAAAAAAACCTGAGAAAATCAGGAGAAAAACTGGGAAAGAACTTGGAAAAACCAGGAAAATAAAGAGGCATAAAATCTAAAAATAGTAGAAAAATAATGGGAAAAAAATTCGGAAAAAATCAGGGAAAACTCAGGGAAATTTGAGAAGAAATTGGGAAAAAGCTAGAAAAAAAATGGGAAAGGAAGATAAAAAATCAGGAAAAAATAGGAAAGGCATGGAAAAAAAAAAAGTGAAAAAATGGGAAAAATCAGGGAAATATCAGGAAAAGAAAGCCAAAAAGACCCTGGGAAAAATCAGGCGAAATCAAGAAAAAATTCGGAAAAAAAATTGAAAAATCAAGGAAAAAACAAAAATGTTTGAGAAAGCTTGCAAAAAAATCAGAAAAAAAATGTGAAAAAAAAGAAAGATCAGGGGAAAATCAGGGAAAAAAAACAGGAAAAGGATTAAAAAATCTGTAAAAAATCAGAAAAAAATAATGAAAAATTTCAGGAAGAAAATGGGGAAAGCCAGAAAAAATTGGGAAAGGAAAAGGGATAAATCGGGAAAAAAATTGGAAAAGAATTGGGAAAAAATGGGTAAAATCAAGAAAAGAGAGAAAAAAGAAACCTGGGAAAAAATCAGGAAAAATCAGTAAAAAAATTAGGAAATACAGGGAAAAATCAGGGAAAAATGGGGGGAAATCAGGAAAAGAAATGGTGGAAAAAATTGGGAAAAATCAGAGAAAAAAAAATCAAGGGAAAAATGAGGAAAAAAACCTGGGGGACAAAACCTGGGAAAATGTTAAAAAAATTGGGAAAAAGCCAGGAAATATTTAGGAAATGAACAAGCATAATTTAGGAAAAATTTGGAAAAAATGGGGAAATATTGGGACAGATCAGAGGGAAAAATCAGGAAAAAAAAATGTGAAAAATGAGAGAAAAATCAGGAAAAGAAAAAGGGAATAAAACCTGAAAAAAATCAGAAAAAAATTGAAAAAATTGGGGGAAAATCAGGGAAAAAATTGGGAAAAATCAGGGAAAAAATGGGAAAAAACAGAAAAATCAGGGAAAAATTTGAGAAAAAGTTGGGGAAAAGATAAAAAAATTTGGGAAGAGAGAAAAATCAGGGGAAAATCAGGAAAATTTGATAAAAAACTGGAAAAAAATGGGAAAATTTGGGAGAAAAAGGAGGGAAAAAATCAGAAAAAAAGCAAGGGAAAATTAGGAAAAAACTAGGAAAAAACAGAAAAAAATGGGGGAAAAAAAGAGTGAAAAAATTGGAAAAAATATTGGGAAAAAAACGGAAAATCTGGGACAAAACGAGGAAAAGAAAGAGGAAAATAATCTGGAAGAATCAGGATAAAATGGGGATAAAAAATGGGAAAAAAATGGGAAAAATCAGGAAAAAACCAGGATTAAATCCCCCTATCCCATTTTTCCATGGAATTTTAGGAATTGCCTACCTGGGAGATCGTAGAAGAATTTCCAGACCTGAGAATCCAGGGACTGGGGAAAGGTGGAATTGCGGATGAGCTGCTCAAGGTTTTTTGGAAGACTGATGGCTTGGTCCTCTTCCAGCTTCCAGAACATTGGGATGAATCCCACGCCTCCTTCTGGCTGGAAATCATGGAAAAATCATGGGAAAGCTGTGATTTAAATTCATGAAATTTTGCCACCAAAGCACCCTTTTTTCCCACCAAAATTTCTATTTTTTTTACCCCAAATTTCAATTTTTGGGATAATTAAATGGGGAAGATAGGGGGAAATGGGGAAAAATAGGATAAAAATGGAGGAAGAATGGGGAAAAGTTAGGGAAAACTACAAAAATATAGGGGAAAAGTGAGAAAAATGTCAGGAAAAATGGAGGAAAATGGGGAGAAATGGAGCCAAAATGGGGGGAAAAAATGGGAAAAAATTGGATAAAAATAGGGAAAATTTTGGGATAATGGGATGGAAATGGAGGAAAAATTGGGAAAAATGGGAGAAAGGAATGGAAGAAAATTGGGATAAAATTGTGGAAAAGTAAGATAAAACCAGGATAAAAATGGGAGAGGGGGGAAATGGGGAAAACTGGGACAAAAATAGGAAAAAAAAGGTAAAGATGAGGCAAAAATGGGGGAAAATTGGAAGAAATCGGGGAAAATAGGAGTAAAAATGGGGAAAAAACTGGGAGAAAATGGAGCAAAAATAGCATAAAATGGGGAAATAATAGATTAAAAATGGAAAAAATGGGAAAAATAGGAAAACATGGGGGACGATTTGAGTAAAAGTGGAGGAAAAATAGGGAAAAAAAATGGGAAAAAATGAGGACAAATGAGATAAAAAAGGGGAAAATTGAGAGGAAAAGAAAAAACATGGGGAAAAAATTGGGGAAAATAAGAAATAGGATTAAAATAGGGGAAAATTATATGAAAATGGGATAAAAATTAGAAAAAATAGAGCAAAAATGGGAAAGAAATGGGATAAAAATGGGGAAAAATTGGATAAAAATGTGGAAAAATGGGATAAAATGGAGACAAATTGTACTCTAATAGGGAATGACTGGGAGTGATTTGGCTTATCGTGGGGCTCACAGGAAACTGGAGCCACACCGGGGGAGCAACTGGGCAATGCTGGGAGCAGCCACTGCCGGCACCGGGAGCCCCGAACCCCTTTCCCGGCCATGCCGGACCCGCATCCCCCCGGCCCCTTTGCCGGGGCTCTGCCGCCACCGCCACCGGGACCCCCCAAAAACACCTCCCGGGGACCCCCGGGGTGCCCCCGAGGGGCATCTGCGGCTCGGCTCTGGAGCCCTGCCATCCCCAAACATCCCCCCCAAAAACCCCAAAGCCAGGGAGCCCCGGGGTATTTGGGGCGAGCTCCCCCTCCCCGGGCACCTGCGGGATGGGGGGCGATGGTCCCGAAGGAGCTGCAGATGCAGAGAGCGGGGAGCGCAGGTGGAGCCTCCTCTGCCTGCTCCAGCTCTTCCTCCTCCTGCTCCTCCTCTTCCTCCTCCTCTGTCCCTCCTCTGTCCCCGGGCGTGGTTCGGAGCCCTCGGGTGAGCGGGGCCGGGCCGGGACACGATGGGAAAGGGCTGGGTCCCCCACAAACCGAGCTGGGGGCAGCGGAGCTTTGGGGGAACAATGGGAACGGGGCGGGACAGGGGAACAGGGGGAGGTGGGAGCACTGAGGGTCCCCCAGTTCACCCCAGGAGCCCCAAGCCCCGTCCCAGCCCCCCCAGTTCCCCCCGCAGCCCCGGCTGAGGGGGGCTCAGCCCAGGAGCCGCCGTCGTTCGGGGCTCCCCCGACTGCAGGAACGGGAGAGTTCCCGGCTCGGGGAGGCCCCAGCACAGGAGGGGACCTTGTCCCTCTTCCAGGGCCCTTCCAGGGTCTTCAGGCCCCTCTCAAGAGGAGTTTTTCTCTTTTTCAGGTTTTTTGGGGGGGATCCCACCACTACAGGGGTGTTTTTTCCTCCCCATTTTAGGGTGTTTGTGCGGCCGCAGCCCCACAAGCCCCTTTGGAGGGGGGATCATGACGGCTTTAAGTGACATTTTTAGGGGTGTCCCCACCCCAAGCCCCTGTAGGGGATGTTTTGTCCCCCAGGGTGGATTTTGGGGGTTCTCTCTACCATGGCCGCTTTAAGGGCCCCCGGTGTTGTCGGGTCCCACTGTAACTCCTCTTAAAAGGGCAACACCGCTCCCGTTGGTTCCGGCAGTGGAGCCCGGGAGGGGTTGGGGGTCCCGGGAGGGGTTTGGGGTACCTGGGTGATGCCGATGAA